TTTTTATTTTTTTTTTTTTTTTTTTTTTTTTTGCATCGACCTTAATGAAAATGACTTTCCTATTAGGATCACATTTGATTTCCATACTATAAATATATCATGACATGGTACCATTTTACTAAATAACTGAATGGAAATTAACTTGCTTGGAAATTTCATGCCACTTAATGGTTCAGACTATTGTACTACAATTTTGGTATAGTTTCCATTAGAACTTCTATTTTTCTTTACCTTTTTTTTTCTTCTCATTTGGATATTTATTCTTACTACAAGTTATGTCTTTTATTCAGATGCATTGCACAGTTTATTGTCTACAAATGCTAGCCAACCATGCAATCAATAAAGATATCCTGAAGCCTGTCTGACTACTCTCCTCTCCACACCTAAGAAAAATATCTGAGCTAAAAAAGTTTGAAGCAAAATCTGGATAATTCACCAAATTCACATTCCTAGGGAAGTAAATCTCTTTCAACAAAAAATTTAGGAATTACAAAGGAAATAAGCCATTGGCGGATGATATTAATCCACAAAAGAGAACAAATTACCTCAGTGCATGATTAAGAATCATGAGAGTTGTAATTAATGAGTATCCATAGAAGAACCCCCTGTAAGAAAAAAATGATGAATCCATCTAAGCACTGTTACAGGACAACAAGACTTGTTAAGTGACAAACCAGTGATAGACACTCATTTTGAAAATGCATTGAATATGCTAACATATGAAGGCAAGCTAGAAAGGAAAGAAAAGAAAAGGGGGGGAGCGAATGCAACTATCATCCTGTTTTCTCTCTAAGAATTGACCATTCAGTTATGATCTAGTCTTCTCTAAAAGTTCCAAGGCAAGAAAGATGGAAATTGTACTATTTAGGTGCATCAGAGCAGGACATGTGTAATTTTATTTAATACATTAAATATACTCATAGGACTACATGATGCATATGTGACCCACCTAAGGCTGCTACATGTTGAAGGTGAACTCAAAAACTTTATAGAGGTCATCATAGTCAAACATGAGCAGAATTAGAAGCAAAGTATTTCGAAATTACTTGTTCATGACAGCATCAAAATCTTGAATCAGTATTGCAATAGCATTGAAGCACATTCCAAAGACGTATAACCAAAAGTTCTGCACATTTATGTTCCTCGAAGGGCGTTTTTTAATTATAGCCTGCAGAATAGAGATAGAGAAGCAAACCTAGTAACTATAATGACTATTAAAGTACTCAATTGAGAATTCCAAATACTTTCTTTTCAGCATAGCATCAATCAAGACCCTCTTTGGGGAGTTACTAACTTAACTATTTTCCAACCAAGATCAACCAAATTTCTGATCATATCCTATTGGCTGAGCAATTCTTTTTTTGGCACAAATTGGCTGAGCAATTCATTTGAGCACTAATCATGCCTTGAACAAGCACTGCAGTTCCAGACAACAAAAGAGGCAGATAGATGCTTAAAGAATTTACCTCTGTGTAAACTCCTGCAAAACCACTTAGAAGTGCCATAACCTGCAATTGTTAAAAGGAAGTATCAAGCGATAATAAGAATCAAGCTTTTCTCTTCAATTGAGGGGATTAAGCTTAAAAACATCAACAACTCACAATGGCCATCACCCAACCTTGAAAAGGAGTTTGAAGGACTCTATCAGAACTGCACAAACAATCTCATTTTGTAAGAAATAGCCAATAATAAAGAAAAATAAATAAATTATAGATGATATCCAAAACTACAAAGCAAGGAACAATGTCCCTTTGTTCTCAACCATGGCAACATGAATAAAGAAACTGATATATAATTCAAAGTCATTAAGAAATACGTTTAGGTATAAGCAGAACATCAGTAATTCAAAGATTTTCATTCATCACTTGGTTATGAGCCAGGGCCTGCATATCATGGATCACTCTTATGAAGAATTAAGTTGTGCTGTGGTGCACCCTGCACATAATAGAATGAAAGCAGCCCATTGAATCTCGCTTAACCTGAAAGAGAACCCAATATCTAATAAGTGTCTCAGTGGCCTTTTCATTTGGTGTTTCTTCTCAAATAAACCTTGAGGATTTAATACTATGTTCTTTGCAATTACTCAGGTTAACATTAGTAGCTGAGTTTACTCCTCATTGGTGGATAAACAGCCCAGCTTGTGGATGCTTTCATTCATGTTAGTCATGATCACAAAAAATAATGTCAACATGGAAACCTAATAAAAATGAAAAAGAAATTGTTCTTGTTCAATTTTTCCCTTCTCTCTTTTGTATGAAAACCATAATTTCCTAACATTTAGATAAAGCTGTTGTAAAAGTAGTTTAAGCAAGTTTTTGTGATGTTAGTAGATTCTATTCAAACCGTTCCATTTCTTTTAGAGTCAGCATTTCAATAGAGGTTATATTATGTCAGAAATAGTGTCCTGCCCATGATGAACTAAATTGGTTGGTGCCTTCAAATTTGGATATAATTCTTATTAAATGGCAGAAGGACTTACTTCTTCTTAAGAATGATTCGGTATAAAACACCAGTACTGATAATATTCAGGTTCTTCAATATTTGATACCCCGGAGCATCAACATAAGCAAAAATGTAATACTGCAAGAAAAAGTCATGTTTTAGAAACCAATAAGACCAAAGCCACTATTGCCCATGAGGCAAAAAATAAAAAAACTGAGGGGCAGAAAAACACACTCACACATACACACACAAATGGGGGGGTGGGGGGATTGAGATGCAAAAACAAATGACCTGTTATCATCAGTAACACCTTCATTTCTCCATATTCTTACCAAGGCTGCAAGTGGTAATGCACATTTCAAAGCCTCTACCTAATATTCCAAAAGAAGGAAACTGAAGGTCAACTTCAAATTCTGTTAAGATTTATCACAAAAAAAAACTTCAAATTCTGTTAAGATCAACTCTACCACCATCTTATCCTACTACTGAGGCGTACATAGAATGGCTTAAGTTCTTTAAGATAGTTGTGTATAATAACCGGACTTTTATAGATTTCGTCTGCCAGATAACTACAACCAAAAAAGGGATTTAAATTACTTCTTTCTCTCCCAAAACAACACCACCATCAACAAAAACAAATGCCGCCACCATATGCATGCCTTTCATGTTCTTCACTTAAAGGCGCACCCCACTCAATTTGTTTTTCGAATTTCTTGAAAAAAGATTTGAAAAGAAAAAATGAAAAGGCAGGAGAAATATGAATAAAATATACATATATTTCACATAATTTCATACTTTTTTTTCCTTTCCTTTTCTAAATCCTTCTCAAATCCCTCAACCAAACACAGCATTGGTTGAGGAGGGCGAGAAGTGTCTATTGTTTCTCATATGTTCATCTCTCATTACATTTGCCCAATTATGTATGAAAATATTAGAGGCCACGGGACCCCAAAACTATTAGTGGTGGTAGGGTGTGGGAACTGGTGGTGCCGGTGTGGTAGTGTGATAGCATTGACAAAACTTTAATTCGAAAAATGTTTTCCACCTTCTAAAAGTGAAAAACATTTTCCACCCCAAATAAACTTGTTTTTCATTGATGTACCAATTACCCACTAGAAAATGAGGAAAAAAACTGTTTTCAAAAAATATTTTATGCCAAAACAAACGGACCGTGAATATAAAACATCATGCTAAACAATTTCAAATAATTAAGAACTTCAAGCATCACAATGGCTCAAAAAATAAAAACACTTACAAGGACGATGTCATTTGATAAGGATGCATCTGATAGGCGAGCCCTTAGCGCCAAGCAACCTTAGAGGTAAGCAATGGACACTATATATTCCTAGTTGAATATCTTTGAGTTTCAGGCCTTCCACCAGAATGATTTCCTAAAGCATTTGAAATGGTGTCAAAACTGTTGCTACTCTTCTCCATTAAAATGAAAATTACAAATTTTCTTATATCCAAACAACATTAACCAAAAATTGCTTATCATATAGTAGAGCTGATAAGATATATCAGCACTCGATCATCTAATCCCAACAAGAAACAAAAGAAAAAAAAGAAAAGGAGAACTGAAATAATGATAATAAAATCATCTCCATGTGATGCCATTTTATTATGTGAGACAGAAAACATCAAGTTGGACTTTTAAGGATTATAGATTTGGACAACCGTCTCAAATTTCATATTAGCTGAATCTTGAATTGGCCCATATTGGTTGAAATTAAAAACTCAAATAGATATAAAATTATTAATATAATAACCAAAAAAAATACCCATAATTGAAAAAAAATCAAAGTGAAATTATTCCAAAACAAAATACATAACAACTACATCTTTATAAGCATTCAATCATTTGACACGAATGACCCCAATTATAAAATTTGCATTCATTTAAGATCACATTTTACTCCAAAAAAAATCTTGCAACAAGATACTGTAAACATAATAGCATAGATTCTTCCCAAGAATTATTTGATATTTTCTTTCTCACCAACCACATCACTTTCCACAACGTTCAAACACATCCCCCACTGGACGGTGAAAATGATCCCCCAAATTAATCAGTGGGCTGGATACAGAGTTACGGAAAAAAAATTACGGTTCACTAATTCTCCAAGTCATTGTATTTCCAAATATTTGCCATGTCTCTTGATCTCTTTCCCAAAATTTGAATCCCTAATCTAATTTATATATTCATTTCAGATTATTTTGTTGAGAAGTATTAAGGCCCTTCACTAAAATAAGATAGTAAATGTGCTAATTTTACAAGTTTCTAAATCTACCCTCGACATGAAAACACAAAGTAGGACAAACACACTAAATTGTTTACGCCTAGCCACATAAGTTATAGGAGATCAAGTATTCAAACGATTGTAAATCTTTATTTTTACAATGAACATTTCATGACAATGAACAATTCAAAAAAACAGAAAAGGAGAACCCAAATAATGATAATAATGTGATGCCATTTTATTGACAGAAAACATCATCCTAGAATAGACACTTATTTCTACTAGTAACTGGAAGAAAAATGGACCATTTTCTTCAACAAAAAGATTCTACATTGAGTTTATACAAATTAATAAGCATTGCAACTCTCACAATTCACAATGCCAACATAATCATCACATAAGCAAATATTGCCCAATGAACTGATCTCATGTCAGTAAGAAACACCCTTTTAAACTTGAATCAGAAACTAGCACATAACCATTATCCTTAAATCATAGCCAAAGAATAATGCCCAAAAATATCATCGATACAAGATATCTTGCTAGAACTTCTCTAATCTACAAGTGATGAAATCCGGACTGCACAATTTAAGTCAAGAAATAAACTTCATTATAAAGGAAGGTGAATGCCAGGTTTAGGAAAAGTAATAAAATTCTCCCCGATGGATATAATATTGACAGAAGCAACTAGAAGAAATATTTCAAGGCAGGATGAGCAATAGAGTTGCTGAAAGTGAAACACAAAAATTCCAACACATTGGAGATATATTATCTTACCCTGCCTTCTAGAAAAACAAGATGAGAAGGAATCAGATCATTATAGGCAGCAACAGATAAGTAATCAATTCCTGCAATCAAGAACAGACAGATGGGTCATTGTGACTGTTAGTTTTTAAACATCATTTCCTGAGATGAATGTGATTTTTTGCAAATGGCTCCATTCAATATTCAGTTTCTACATTAGCATGCTACATGGAAAGTGAATGGGCTCATTTAAATGCAATTTGACATTTAGCAATGGAGATATTTATTCAGAAAAGTAGTCAGAAATTGAAATGCGTGGATTATAAATTCCTCAAGTTTGTAATCTACATCACACAAGTTCAAATCTAACTCATCCATTCAAATTCTTAGAACGTTTCTGGATAGATAGCATTTTCTGTATAAAGGGGAAAAAATAAAAAATAAAAAAACACCGTAGTAGTAAAAAACCTGGTTTATGTATTTATATGTTTCCTCGTTTTCTCATCAATCAAATTTGAGTAAAACAAAATCCTAAACATTCAATTTGAAACCCTAGAAACCCTAATCGACATGAATCCACAATTCACGTTAAATTCATCTGAATACCGAAAAGAAAGCAATCACAACCAAAGTAAAGAACAACAATACTACAAAATCCTCAAGAAAACTCAGATTATATAGGTGAAATTAGATGGCGATTCAATAAATCCACATTACATCCATCACAAAACAGGTTTGCTTTATGACCGTAATCCTCTCTTCGTCCATAGCCCCCAAATTATATATATATATAGAGAGAGAGAGAGAGACCGAGGGCAAAGGATAGAGAGGGAGAGAGCGAGAAACAGAGAGAGGAGACAGACAGACCGAGAGTGAGAGAGAACCTATGAGGATGCGGCGGCGGCGGCGGCGCTAGCAGTGGCGTACGACGCTGGTCAGTGATGAGGTGAGATTGGGTGAGGATGCCATAGAAATGAGGAGTCCATTAGACAGAGGGCGATGGCAATAGCGATGTGCGACAGACGTGAGCAATGGTGGTGAGGGACTTCGGTGAGCTAGAGAGAGTGGGCACCGATTGAGAGAGAGAATACAGAGAGAGGGAGAGGGCGAATCAACATATAGAGAGACACAGAGAGCGAGCTGGAGACAGAGAGGAGAGACGGGATTAGAAATGGCGACCAAATTTTATAAATGGCGACCAAATTTCTAGAGAATGTGGGTACAAAACGACGTCGTTTTATAAATGGCGACCAAATTTTTTTTTGTCGCAAAAAATTTTGGTTTTCCCCCTCCATGTTTCAAAATTCCCTCCCAAGCCTTTCGCGACCAACTAACCAGATTAGTCGCAGAAAAGGTACCTTCCGCGACCAAATTTGAAGTTGGTCGCCAAAAGCATACCAATATCTGCGACTAACTCATTTTTGGTCGCAAAAATGTGACCTTCTGCGACCAACTCATTTTGGTCGCCAAAAATAATGATCATTCGCGACTAATTAATATTTTGGTTGGCAAATATCATTTTTTTGCAACCAAAATTTTTTTGGTCGGCAAAAATGGTCGGCAAATGTGTAAATTCTTGTAGTGTCTTTTTTCTTTTTTTCTAATTGGGGAGTTGGGTGTTTTGGTTCACTTTCTTCTTATTTTTTGTGTTAAATGGGGGAGAGAGTGGTGAGAGATAGAGAGAGAGAAGAGAGTAATATTATTTTGTGGTTTTGTATACAAAGTAGTAATTAATTTTTTGGTTGAGAATTGTGAATACAATTTTTGGGGGTAATATTAAAATACCATTTGTGGATATGTTATTTTGTGGATAATGGTGATTGGTGAATGGGAAAGTGAATTAATGATGCATTTGTTATTTGAATGTAAGTTATTATTTCATATTAGTGTTATTCAGTTTTATTTTATGTATTTTTTTAGTTTAATCACATAAATTAGCACAATTTCAAAAAAAAAAAAAGGAGAAATCACAGCGTTTTTTAAAAAACGCCACTTTAAACCTTAAATATTAACGGTTAGATTTTTTTAAAAAGATATGACGGCGTTTAAAAAATGTCGCTAAATATCATAATGACGTCATGGTACTGTCAAGTAAGACATTTGGCGGCGTTTTTAAAAACGCCGCCTATATTAATATAACGACGTTTTTAAAACGTCATAAAGTTATAGCGACGGCCGCGTCCTCGGCGCTTGGTGTTAAGCGTCGCAAAAAGAATTAGCGGCGTTTTTGACACTTATAGCAGCGGTTTTTAAACGCCGCTAAAAACTGAATTCCCTACAGGGACGTGGTGGACGATATGGCAAACAAGTATTTTATGCAAAATGTCATTGCTGGTGCCCTTATTAGGAATGTAGATAAAAATAGCGATGCCCCATTAGGACCAAAGATCAATCTTCCACCGCACAAAATGAAACTTGTTTGTTATGTTATTTTTATTTTTTTGGCAAATTACAATATTAATTTTTTTTTAAATTATAAATAATTTTTTTGTTAAGATTTTTTATTTAATAGAATTAATTAAAAAAATAAAATTTTTAACTGTTCTCTTATATAGTGGGTGTTTGGGAAGTGAGTTTTTATGTAGGTTTTTTTAGTTGTAGAATATTATTAGAGAAAAATTTTTTGTGTTTGGGAAAATAGTTGGATTTTTATGTGGTTGGATGTGATGCTTGTGAGAGAAAAAGTGAAATGATTATGGGGTTGGATGTGATATTTTGTTTGGATGTGTTTTTTTTAGTTTTGCAAAAAGTTTGTCTTTTTGTGAAAAAAATTAAAAAAAAAAACCCAAGTTTGGGACTTCCCAAAAACCACCATAATAATAAAACTATTAAATTATTAATTGAAATAAATTTCTGACATCATTAAAAATAGTTAATTAACTTGATGATTTATTTTAAAAATAGATCATTTGTTATGAAATTAAAAACTTCAAGGGGTGTAATTTTTAGAATGACAAAGAACAATTTATATTTTAAACAAACCTAAAGGGTTGCATTTATAATTTGCCGTTTTGTTATTAAGAAAGTGAAATTGATTCTAAATTTTTGAAATTTTTTATTAAAAAAATAAAGAAATTTTTAATTGTTTTCAAAACAAGTTTTACTCTCTCCTCCCTTTCCCACCACCACCAGCCAATTGTCATCGAGCTCTAGCCATTTCACGACACTTCAGCCACTACATCTATCTACCCTATACTGTTAACGACTATCTTCTATAACTCATCAAACATATTTTATTTATTTTTATACCAAACAAACTCGTCAAACATATTTTATTTATTTTTATACCAAACAAGTTTTGTTACGTGTTTTTTTTGCAAACAGAAAACTTGAAATTGACAATTCTACCAAACGAGACCTAGCTTATGCGTGTTTAGAATTTTTGTTGTGCATTATCTATACCTATCTATAAAAGCAGGAAAATCTGTGTCTAACAACAATGTGTCTAACCCAGTTGAAATGGCAAATTAACCCTCCTTGAAAATTGTTGATCACGCTCTAGCAAGCTCCGTATCAATCGAGCTAGTTTTTGGGGTCCATTCGATTTTAATATACAAAGACAAGCCTACGTGGTCATTCTATACTTTTGCAAACAATTTGTTATAAAAATGAATGGTTTACATATTTGACATATTTGATATTGAGAAATACTCTTAAATTGATGGCTCATGAACACTAAGATTGGCAAACATACACACATATCCACTAGCAGGTCAGAAATATTTCCATGCGGTAAACTATGGCTCAACCTCTCATCCAAACATCAACTAGTAGTAGAATAGACATGGTGCGTGAGACTAAAAGTTGAATTTTTGGTTTTTTTTCTTTTTCTTTTTTTTTTTTTTTTTAAAAAAAAGTGCAAAAAGTAAAGAAACTTAAAAAAACCAAAAAGCCTTCTAACTTGCTAAAATAGGCACTTTAAGGTGCAAGTTAGCGTCTAATGAAAACTGAAGCAACCATTCCAATTTAGGGATTCACTGGATACAACAAGAAAATATGGCCGAACTCATTCAATGATGATCAAACCTGTCTACACAGTTGTTGCAAATGGAGCAATGAGAAGCACGTGGTGGACGATATAGCAGACAAGTATTTTTATGCAGAATGTCATTGCTGGCACCCTTATTAGGAATGTAGACAAAAACAGTGATTCCCTATCAAGACCAAAGATCAATCTTCCACCGCACAAAATGAAACTTGGTTGTTATGTTATTGATTATTTTTTTTTTTTTTTATCATAGAAATTCCAGAAGGCTACAGAGAAACATCCGCCAAAAGCAAAGCCGAAAGAGCAGCAGGGGGGTTGGAAAACCAGTTAGAAGGAAGCGCACCATGAAGATGAGCTCGGCCAACCGAGTGAGCTACTCCATTTGTCTCCCTAGGTATCCAAGCAAAGGAAACATGGGAAGAAGAAGACACAACCTGAATATCATGCAGGAGTGCAGAAATGTCCCAGGGAGGAACCATCTCAGAAACACAAAGGGTGATGACTGCTTGGTTGTCACTCTGCACTTGAATATGGGAAAGACCCAGAGCTCACAGAAACATACAAGCAAGACGAATAGCATGAGCTTCTCCTTGTTTAGCTGAGGAAGAGTAGACTATAGAGGTCACACCATCAATCAGTTTACCGTGGCTATCTCTCAGAATCACAGCCAATGCTGCTCTGCCATCAGAAGAAGAGAAGCTGGCATCACAGGAAACTTTCATAAAGCCAGGGAGGGGGCTATCCATCGAGGGTGAGGGCAACCTGGAGTATAATTCTACTGTGAGGGAGGTCTGCGGTGATGATGGGCTTGTTCAAATTCCCACCAATAAGCACAGACTTGTTGAGTAACCCGATGAGGATCCATAGAGCATTGGTTAAAAACCTAGCCATTTCTACTTTTCCAGATACACCAACCAACAATGGCCACTCTACTCACCATCTCTATTTTGTCAAGCACCTGAGAGCAAGATTGCATCAGAGACACCGTCCACTAGAGAGCTGAAACAATCGGATCGTGCCCAATTCGGAGTCCCAAATTACATCCAAACCACACGGCTCTCACCCAATCGCAATGGAAAAGAATATGCTCAATGGATTCAGCACTATATTGACATACCGTACAGTTAGGAGAGGGAGCACACTTCCGCCGAAATAGATTTTCTTTTGTTGCTAGTCTGTTGCAACAGACTCGCCACCAGAAATTACGGATTTTCGGGGGAACCTTTAAGGACCAAATGAACTTCCAGAAGCTTTTGGGGGGCTGGACAGAGGAGGAAGCTAAAAAGGAGCTCACTTCCAAAAGCTCTTGTCTAGCCACCTGATAACCACTTTTAACTTCATAAGTTCCTTTATTGGTATAGTGCCATATCAAAGGAGTCCGGATC